GGGTGCGGGGGGGGGGGGGGGGAGGAGCAGTACCTAGGCAGTTAAACCAGCAGCTGCAGGACCCCCACTGGGAAACTCTGCACTGGTCAGGGCCAGGGTGATGTAGTCGGTGGGTGTAGTGTGGGTTCAAGCAGGAGCATGGACTGTACTAGGCAGGAGTGGCTGGGGTTTGGCACCACATGGAGTGCTGCAGGGGCACCTGTGGGCCAGATGGGGAGGTGGAGATTGGGAAAGAGCACCTACACCTGCACCACACTGCCCAGGTGAGCTCTGCTACATGTGCCCCCTCCCTCCCTCAACCCCTGGCCTGCTCCCAGAAGCAAAGACACAAGAACCTCCCCCCCAATCTTGCCCTCTTTTCTTTGTCAAAATAAATAAGACTTGACTTTGAGCTATTATGCAATTGCCTCAATATTAACTAACCAAACAACACCCCCCCCCTAAAAATCAGGACACATTATTTTTTGAAATACACTAAGAAAACCAAACACTACTATAACATCTTTTGATTTTTAGTATAGGACTTATTGATTTACTTTATAAAAAAAAAAAAAAAAAAAATCGGTCATTTGTTAAAATTATATCTTCTGAAAGATTGTGTGTGTGCTGCCCTCAACAGCTCACCAGAACTTAAGTGGCCCACCAGTAGAAATAATTGCCCATCCTTGTTAGGTGGGTGTGTGGTTTAGTAGTAATTTGAAAGAAAAGGGGAATGAAGGACAATCCTGTATTCAAGCTAAACTTTAGATGGAAAAAAAAAAGGCAGGGCAGGGGGAGAAGAGAATTACATTTTTACTGAGTGCGGAAGTTCAATGAGGTTTCATGCATATGCAAGAGAATTAAAAGTAGAACACGTCCTAATTATGTAATTATGCAAGAGAGCTGATCCAAAGGATCTGCTCCTGTCTTTTGGCTAAACAGTAGTCATTACCTCCTCCCTATTACATGTGCTTTAAAAGAATTCCTGTAATTACTTGCTTGCCCCAGAGACCCGAGTGGCTCTGAACAAAACAACTACTCCAACATGCCCTGGTTCACAACACAGTTTGCCTAATGAAGCACGTATATGGCTGTGGTCCCTTGCATAAGTAGTACGTATTTTATAATCTTCCTGACTGAGAGAAACTTTTAGACTGCTCAGTCTAAGGGGCTACATGTTCCCTTCTACTCCAGGCACACAGCGGAATCATGGTGTTCAAAGACACTTTGTTTTAAGTGTCCACTTTACATCCTATGTCATAGAAGTTCCTCCTCCAAATTGCCTGCTGGGTCAAGTTTAAAAGCCTAATGGGGACAGGAGGTAGAATGGCTACCTACACAAAACTCACTTCCACATCCACCAGCAGTAAACCACATCTTGGCCCACTCCCAGCAGCCCTGCAGGAACTGCATGGGGCACAGAGTAGTGTTGTTCTTAACCCGAGAGACTAGAGGTTTGTCAGAAATTGCAATGAATGGCTATGATTAGACTAGGTCTGCCTGCTTCTCTATAGACTTGTTTTTTTAAAAATCAAAACATCCTTATCCCTTCCTTTGTGAACCTAGGAAGCAACTTGTACCTTTAGCTCACAGTTGGACAAAGGTAGCAATAGTTCAACAAACGCAATACCAAAATTGGTGTTTGGAGAAGAGCAGCTTATGCAATAAACAAATACATCCAGGAAATTTACAATTCAGTCTGACACACTGACAGCCTTTGATCCACAGTAAAATTAATATTCCTGTCAGTAAGTAGTGTGCCCCATTCCATTAACAATTTAAACCACTGTGACTTTCAAAAATAATCTTCCATTTAAGTATTATCTTCCTTTCTCAAGGGAGCCAATGGCTTTTACAAACCTAGCCTGATCCTGCAGTTCATGCACACAGAAAAAAAAATCCCAAATGACTTCAGCTGATGAATATTGACTGCTCCGTGGAACTACACTGAAATAACTTCAGCCACCATTGAAATGCAGTAGCCGTTTAAGAGTCCTGACAGCATTATTCAGCAGCATGTCTGTATCCCCTTTCTCCTCCCCACCCCCTTTTTTCTTTATCAGGCCCAAAGCTGCCAATCTTTAAGTGTTTCTGCCAGCTTCACTGATCAATTTCTTGACAGTTTCATAAACCTTTAGTAAACACTCCATACAAGAAAAAGCTATGCTACATACATAGGTAAGTGCTCAAGAGTCAGAACATGTAAAGTACACTCTTCTCTGTACAATTGTACCCTCTTTTCTTTGTGATGCATGTACTGTAGTTATTGGATGAAAAATAATATCAGAATCGTTGAGGTCAGGAGCTCAAGAGCAGAAAGACTACATAGACACTATCAGCAGATCGTCATCTGATTCATCATCACAACCATCAAGATATCCGAGCTTGTCATAGGGAACCTATTACTGAAGGGTTAATTTAAGCAAAGGATAAAACAAAAGAAAAAAAAAAACAAAACAAGCCAATACTGAACTGATCCTACTCTCTTAAAAGCCAATATAGTTGTCATATAAAAAACAGAGGGAGATTTCACTTATAAGTCATAAAGAGCTGTAGAAAACCACTGAAATCAAGAACTACTGTATTTTCCATTATCTTTAGTAGGCATATAGTAATAGACAAGAAGAAAATACAGAATATACTTCAAATATATACAGAGAATGTTTCAATAATTGGTTTCTCAAATCAGGGCAGGATACTCAATGTGGTCATTTGTTTTTAATTACCCAGAATTCCATTGCCGCTCACAGCTATTATGCAACAGTACTGTTGTCCAAGCCCATGAGACACACCAAAAGATTAAAGAGACTTTTGAATGGCCTGAATTTTTTTTAAAGTTTCTCTGTTTTCTTTAGGATTACAAGGCTTTAAATTTTAAAAAAATGTTTCCACTGCAATTATATGAAAATCAAACAAAACCCCTAAACTCACATCCTTGTGCAAGTTTCTCTCATCTATAGTTCTCAGTTGCTACTTTTGTGTTCACTAAGCTCTATATCCAGGATCACATCTTTTCCTAACCACCGATTTCCAGGAAGTTATATTTGCTTCATTTTTCACCTACCTCAGTCATGCAGAAGTCACATCACAAATCAGAACCCTAAATGGAATAAGAAGCCAGTGTTCATTGGCAGAATATCACACTTATCTTAACCAGTGCTGCATTAAGGTCATTAGGTATGCATTGACATGAACTCTCCCAGGTCTTCATGGCCACATCCCCATTTAGGGTGCCATAAACCTCCCCCCATCCCCTCCCCTTTCCAGAGAAGTACAGATTCCTCTCCCTTTAGAAGTAGCTAAAGTGGCAATAAGACTTCCCACCCCCTACCAGCTGCCCCCTCACCCCAAATCATCTTCCAAGAGGAAAATTTGGCAGTGGAGGGCTCCTCAGGACTGATATGACAGCAGAGGTATATCTGCTCCTGTTTTAAGGAAAAAAAACACTGCACTCTTCTCCTTCCGTGCTGCGTATGTGGACACTGCAAACTGAACAAGCGATTGCAGCATAGACACAATGTATTTAAACAAATAAATAATAGTAATAGTAACTCTCATGCAACTTAGGACACTTGCAAGTTCTTTACTCACTTTCTTACTCCACTTTCCCTTGTGCTGGGCAAGCATCCAGGTCCTTCACTTCTCTCCTCTAAACTACTTGCATTGCACAGCTTTCTGCCATCTGGAAATAGATGGTTGTAAACTGCTGGAGAGCTGTTTACTAATGCACTGGTGAAAAGGTGGGAGCAATAGGCTACTATATAGTGAAAGGGATGGAAGAAGAGAGTAGAGAAACAACAAATTTCTCAATGCAGAAAGCAATACCTCCAAAGCATACAAGTTTCACATGCTACGGTAAGAACCAAAGAAGCCCAAAAAACAACAACAACACCCTAGCCCATAGAGTCAAGGTTACTATTTTTAAAGTTAAAGCAAAGTCCATTTTAATTTTTGTTAAATGAAAGTTTTCTTTTAAGGGAACCAGAGTAACAGCAGTGAAGACACAAGAGGCTTGCATAGCTAGGTTTCATATCAGCTCTGGTAGGGAACCAGTTCACAAACCATCATCAGAGAAAAACCTCCTTAACACCAAAGTTTCCAACCAGAAGTTCCCAAACAAGTAATTTCAAAATCAGGGACAGACTCCTTCAGCTGAATGCAGGGAAGAAGTTAGAGGACACTAACATCTTCTCACCTTCACATATTTCTAAATGCCCCTCCCACCCAGGTGCTTGTTACCTAAATGGCTTGTCAGCAGGCCTCTATAGCCGTTTTGCTGACACATTAGGTCTTGCTGCCAGATTATCTGCAATCAGATCAGGTGAAGATGCTTACCTCTATAATGTTGGTAATGATTTCAGGGGCATCTGTGTGAGGATGGGAGTTTGGCTTTTAACTTATTTTTGAGCTCCTCAAAGTTCTCTTATTGAAACTATTAATTTTCCTGCCTTTTTTATAAAGACATTTTAAAGGTGCCAAGACAGATTCTGATTGCAGTTTCAAGTCACTGTAAATCTGGAGTAATTAACTTAATGAAGTTACTCTGGATTTACACCAGTATTCAATCAGAACCTGGGCTGCCAACTGCTCAATGCTTTTCTGTGTCGAGAATCAAGAACTTCGAGAAAAGAATCTCTGAAAAATGTGAAGATAGATTATCTTTTCCCCTCTGATTCTTGGCAGAGATGCAAATTGAGATCTGATCTTTATAATAACACAGATGTGGGCTTGAATTTCCTGATGAAAACTGAGTCTCTTGAATCTCATTAAGATTTTAAATTGACATTTTCATACACATATGGACCTACAAAAGAGAGGGAAGGAATGGTTTTCCGGCTTTTCTATCACAACACATACCAATATTAATCACAACTAGTATTAATCATTCAGCACTTGCCTGCGTTGGACCTTGTATATACAGAAAGTTGCACCCATTTATCTAATAGTGCACATATTTAAATTGATCTGAAATTTAAATTGAAACAGTACAATCCCCTGCATTCATATCTTTTTCAGTTTTCAAATGATTTATTTCACCATGTTTTAAGCCACTTAGGAACAGATTTTTAATTAAAAAAAAGTAAGTTACTTGAACTGAGACACAAGTGCGTAAATAGGAGGTTGCACCAAGTTAACTAAACTGGCCTAGGAACTGTGACTGGGTCTTCAGAGTCACTGGGCACATCTACACATGCACTAATGTGCATTAGCCTATTTTAATGCACATGAAATTATCACAAAGAATCATGCTCATTCGCTAATGGACATTAAAATGGCTAATGTGCCTTTTTCTAGTACCTCACATTGGAGACTGTGTCTATACGTGCACTTTAATGTGCATTAGCTTATTTTAATACACATTAAAACATCACCAAAAAACATGCTCTTAAGTTATGTGCATTAAAATAGGTTAATGTGCACTTTTCTAGTACCGCACAATGGAGGTACTAGATTTAATGCACAGTACCTAAGGCACATTAATGAATATATAGACACACCCACTGAGTCTACACGCCCACCATTCAATGTGGGGAAACCAGGTCATATAATCCTTTAATTTTTTTCAAACTTGTTCTTAGAATTAATTATATTTCTTTGCCCTGCTCCTATTGAGAGGCTCTTTTAGAACATCATTGCTCTGGTTAGAAGCTTCCCTCGATTTTCCAGCCTACATTTATTTATGGCCACTTTATACCCATTTGTTCTTGGGCCAAAGATATTTATTAGCTTTAATAGCTCTTCTCCCTCCCTGGTGTTTACCCCTTGATAGCTCTGTATTTATGTGGATTACTTTTTTTGTTGTTGTATTAGGGTCAGGACACTTCATTGTCCCTGTGTAACCTGTTTGTGGGGCCCTTCCTCCTCCTGGCATCCTGAACAGTAAGAAAGAGAAGAGCTTTGGATGGACTCTCCTCTCTCAGCCTTCATTTTTCTAAGCTAAACAACCCAGAGCCTTTTGGTCTTATGTTGCATGATAGGTTCCCCACTCCCCGATCATCTTTCCCTGCACTTGATTCAGTTTGAACTCATCTTTTTTACATAAAGCACACTTGTATTTTTTGTGCCAAGGTCACTAATAAAAGCAAAAACAAAACAAAACATGATCAATCCCAGGACTGATCCTTGAGAAATCCCAGTAGTAACTTCTGGGTATGCTGATACTTTTTATTTCACCATATACCACTGTAGCCTCCCCTTTAGCCAGTTCTTTCCCCACTTTACAATTCTTGTACTAAACACCATCTTCTCAAGTTAAACTAAAAGTTGCTCATGTGGCATTGTACCAAATACCTTAATGAAGTCTAGAGAGAGACTATATTTCCTTTGTTTGGGAAATAAGTTATACAGTCAGTACAGCATGATCTACCTTGGACAAACTCATGTTGCACTGTATATTATTTTCCATTTATGTCAATTTTTTAAAAGTGTCCTTCAAAATTTGTTCAAATGTCCCGCAATACTACTGAGTTCAGACTAACAGGGTAGTTGACTCAACACTTCTCCCAGCCCTTTTTTGATAGGCATGCTGTATTTGCTATGCACCTACCATACAGTATCATCCATGACTAGATACCATACATCTATTACAAGTTCTTGCTACTGACTTGCAATTTCATATGCCATCTCTTTCATAATTTCAGGATGGAGATTATCTGGCCTTTCTGACTCAGATGCATTAAATTCTTAAGCCTTGCTTCTACCTCAGATGTGGCAACACTTATTTTCATACTCTCATTCCTGTTACTCATCCTGTCCTTACACCCATGTTCAAGCATCTTCCATACTGAGAACTGAAAAATCCCCCCTCCTTTAGTATATGGACCCCAATTTTAATGTCTTTTTCATCCTGCTATACAGCAGCTCCAATTCCTTTCTTGTTCTTGTAATGTATTTATTTCTTATTTATCTAGCTGAAACATCTTTTGCTATTCATTCTAATTTCTTTTGCAATGTGGAACTCAGCCTAACTTGTGGTTCATTTAAACCAGCATAAATCTGTATGTAGATAAGGCCATAAACTCCCAACTAGGCTCTGGCTTCCCCTACGTGTTTTAGGTGAAGACACAGCAATCCTCTACCCTATTCCAGTGTATCTGGGAACAGAGGTAGCTCTACTCTTCATTCTCTGGACAATATTTTCTTCCTTTCGTTTAATTTAATTTTGCCCTTCTGGAATTTCTAATGCTTTCCCTGCCTCCTGTCATTCACCATCCTTCTGCTTTTTCTGCTCATGGTTCCCACATCTTAACTTTTCACTTCCTTCTCTGCTATCTTGCCTGACTTCCTCTCATCACTGCTGCAGTGAGAGGAAGTGAAAGAGCCAGCTGGGTCCATGAGAATTTGGCTGAGATGTAATATCTGTGGCAGATGCAGATAGCAGATGCAAAGCACTGAGAGTCCAGGTCAGAGATGTAGCTAAGAAAGATGTGAGGCTGATCAGAAAGTCACAGGCCTGGCCAAACTGAGACTATTGGTTTCTCCTGGGGAAGAAAGCTCAGGGGACAGGAACAGATGCCACCTTTTTTGGGGTAGGATGGCATACAGGCTTCAATGCTCATTTCTTCTCATTGGTCGCTTATAGATAGGAATGAAGAAGTGTACGAGGGAGACAAAGCAGGGTACTGCAAGTCTCTTTGCTCCTGGCAAGAGGAGGTGTTCCTTGTATTTGCTACTGCTTCCAATTACAGTATATAAACACATTGTGAATTGTCAGTCACCAGCTCTGCAAAAATAACCAGGGCACAGTGGCATTTACATCATCAAGCTTCAGAATTAAAATATTACATCATGATTAGGACATATGATTCCTCTAACAAGAAGAGATTTTGTGCTACACCTCCAAGGGCTTCTATACCATGGAGTTACTAAGAAACATGTGTATGGAAGGATGATTATCCTTGGTCCTCAATGATTCCCTCTGCAGACAAATCCTAAGAGGCCCAGTAGAGAATTTGATATTTAAGGGAGCTGTTAGTGACCCTGTACATTACTCCAACCCTTTCTGCAGTATGCAAGGATCAGTATTGGGGTGCATCTGACCCAGTATTTATTTGCAGATTATGCCTGCACAGGCAGATTAACGCATGGGCCAGCATCAGCCAGGCCCAGGGGCCCCCAGCTGCATGGGTTCCCTTGGAAAATGATAGTTTCTCTTTGCAGGCAGGTAGTATTCCAGCCTACAAGGGGTCCTGCTTGGGGCTGCCGGGAAATGCAGGGAGAGTACCAGACTCTTCCTGGTAGGGGGCTGGGCCAGGCCAGGAGCGCTGCCACGCCTCTGCAAGCTGTGGGCATGAGTGGGGTGGGCAGGTGGCAGTGACAGTGCTGGGAGGGGTCACTATGTGGGTGCTAAGGTGAATTTTGGGATGGCTATAGCCACCCTGAGCCTCCCCTAGTACCATCCCTGTGCATGTGTGTGGCTGCATGTGGCCAGGAACACAGCCAGGCAGCCAGCTCCCTGCAGGTAAGTCTAATGGGGGACAGGGGCGTAGGGGAGGGAAGGGGTAGGGGGGCAGATTGAGGCCCCCATAGTGAGGGAGGGAGGTAGGGGCCAGAACAGTGCATGGGACCCAGGGCAGGGAGCGGGATGGAGCTACAGATGGCTCATCCAGAGGGACCAGGGGGGGAGGAGGGAGGAGAGCCTCGAGCCCACAGTGGCCAGCCTACACCTGCCCTTGCCCTGCTGGGCTCCACTCTTGCTGTGGTGGGGGGCTGGGAGAGCAGGGAGGAGGCAGGCATGCGCCACTCCGCCCCCAGTCCACCCAGCCTCCCCTGCGGGGCACAGAGGCCCCCCACCCTTGGCAGTGGCAGCAAAAGTGGGGAGAGGGGCCCCATGCCTCACTGGAGTCCAGCTCCCATGGCGGGGAGGGGGCCTCTAATTTTGTGTCTGCCCAGGGCCCCAGTAAATCCTAATTCGCCTCGGTGTGGCAGTGATAACTGTGTCAAGGC